ATTAAAAATAAAATGAATAAAAATTAATTATAAAAAAATAATAATATTTAAATTAATGTATTTAATGAAACATTAATTTATTTAAAATATTTTATATTTTAAAATAAAAAATTTATTTAAAAACAATTTATAACTTAGAACAGAAGGGGTAATATTTTGGTAATATTTTTTTAGGTCTGCTCACCGCTTCTCGAGAAAGCCTTTACGTCATTATTGATAAGTCTCATCTCTTACTTAACCCCTTTAATTAATTCAATACCTATCTTTTACCGGGCTCACGGTTTCATATTAATACTCAACAAATTCATATAATTTAAGGATTTTATTAAGTATAATAATTATATTTAAATTAAAAAATATGATAAAATTATTCTTATAATTAAAATAATTTTATTTCACGAAAATAAAATTTGATCAAGGAGAAATTTTAAAAAAATGTGATAAATGTTTCTTGAATTTTATTATTCTCTTATAAAAACAATATAATGAAGAATATAACAATTTTTCTTATAATTAAAAAAATTCATTGAAGAATTATTTTTCCTCATGTCATAACTGTCCATTTTATTGAGGTAATTTATTTTTATTTTTAATTATTTGAAGAAATATTCCTTATTATAATTCACTAGATAGATGTTGCTTATATTTTTTTTAAAAAAATATTATCCATATTTAAAGTTATTGATTATGAAGGAGAATATAATATAAAATTTTTAAAAAAATATTTCGCTTTATTCAATTTGTTGGTTTAAATATAAGTAAATTTGATTTTTTTAAATAAAATTAATAATTTAATCACCCTTCTATTATGTTATTAGTTGTAGGTTAGAGGCGTCTTGTAATAAAAAATAAAGAGAATAGCGCGCCCAAAAATAATAAAATTGAAGAGAATATTTTGAATTATTTTCTTGTGCAGGACCTCGAGGGGTAGGATTCAGGTTAAAGAATTTATTGGTCTTTTTTTTTTTTTTTTGCCAAAAGGATTTTATTGGTTCAAATCTAGCATTAATACATATTTGTACACGTGTATGGACGTGTGTCTTCATGTTATATGGGAAGGGGCCACAGAGTTTATTTATTTGTCTCACTTTCGGCTTTGCTTTTGTCTAGTGCCACTCCCATTGTACTCCGGTCAGCTTAAGTTAGTCAAAGTTTCATACTTACGTGTCTTCTACATGCTGATTTAATATAATATTATGATAAAATATGCACATACCATTATTGATCACAATTGGGGGCAGAACCAGACATTGTGTGGGGGGATTTTTAAAAATTAATATATTAATTAATTTTCAAAATGAAAAGTGACATCACATACACTTTTTTTTTAAAAAAATTCGCTTTAAATATTCAAAATAATTTTAATTAACACTATATACAAATGAAATAAAAATAAATAACTATTTAATTGAAAAAAAATAATGTATATATTGTAACGTCCTGAGTTTTGGAGCCTAGAAGCTCAATACTATATCAAAATTCAATAAGCTACTAAATCTAAGTAATCAAGAATCTCATAGGTGCCCTGAAAAGATAAAATAGTTCACATGGATCAAATTATAATTTTAAAGTCTTCATGGAAAAAAGTGTGATATTTTTAGAGACTTTAAAAAAGTGTCCGGAATTGAGAAATAAGCAAATTGAAGTTCAAAAGTTGTCAAGATGGGCAAAAGGAAATAAATAAGACTTAAGAAGGCGGTGGCGGAGCCATATGTTAGTGAGGTGGGAGCAAATGCACCCTTTCACTTTGAAAAATATTACAAATATAATATAGAAATTTTACAACTTTACGTCCCTTATTCTTGATCTTTTACCCCTTCAGACTAAATAAAAGTTTTTGGGTTCAAAAACTTATTAAATATAAAATAGTTTAATGATTTATATAAGATATAAAGAGTATATTCAAATAAAAGATCATATCAACTTGGTCATTATAATTTTTAAGAAGAAAAATGATAATTAATTAATTTATGTTACTATAATTTTAGTCCTATAATATACTTATTTTTTTAAAAAATTAATTTTTTATTAAATTATCTTGCACCCTTTAGTTTTGGGTCTTGGCTCCGCCGCTGTAAGAAGATAATGGAGATATCTAAAATTAGTTTTGGAAAATAATTAATAAGGTTGTCATATCAAACAAAAGTAGAGTTATTTGACAACTTTATCCTCATGTGCTAAGTCTCTTAGAGAAGGATCACAATTAGATCCTAAGGATTATAGTAGATTCAAAAAGAGGTCAATGAGATCATGGTTAGATCTCAAGATCACAATTAGATCTTATGGTTGTAATATACCTCGTAAAATATTACTAAGCCATAGAGTATATGACAATTCTCTAAAAATACAATTGAATACAGAAACCTCTTAAATGTGTGTAACTATTTACAAAGAGAATATCCTTGACTATTTCTTAGATAGCTTGATTGTAATTAGGCTAAGAAAGGAAGGAAAAGAAAAACAAGTAAGAGCAATTGCGCATGTATATCTAGGACCAAATGATAATTATTAATGTTTAAGGGTGACTATGTGTTAATAAAAATAATGAGATTGTGAGAAAGTATCCAGAGCTAAACATGAACAAGGGTGAACATTAACTCAAAAATGTCAAGCCCAACCAAGATTAGAATGTAATTTCTAAAAGTTTTGGATCTTAAGATTAACTCATGTTTAATGCCCATGAGAATTTTGATGAGAAAACTAGACACAAAGCTTTCCAGAAAGTTCCAAATCGGGTCCTTTGGACATGTAAATTATGAGTTATGAATTTTTAAAATTAAAAGGCACAGAAGCTTTTCAAAAACAGAGTAAGTTTAGAAAATCATTAAACTGTATCAATTGGCTGAATTAAAGTCCTCTTTCTTATTTTTCTATTGCAAAATGACTTCAAGATCTCTCAAAAGAATTTTAGAGCATCGTCATACAAATTTTTTATATTTACTTGTGATTTTTTGAAGTCCAGTAAAAATTTTAAACTTACCAAATTAGAAGTAGCTCAAAGATTAATTTGTAAGTTCTAATTCATGGGCTTCAATTTCCATTTGGCTTGAATCGTATCACTTCCAGTTGTGTAGGGAAAGTGTTAAAAGTGATGATGTGACATATAATATTAATATTAACTATTGATTTTATTTTTTAGGAGTGAAGATTTGATAAATAACTAAAGTCTTTTAATAAACTAGGAAATTAGGTATTTTATTGTTGTTTAAGCATATAAATAGTGGAGAGGAAGATGTATAATATGTACATAGTAGTGCAGCCGAATGACATTGAGAGGGACCCAATTCTGCACCATTACACTGCTCTGTTTCTTGCTAGAACCTTCAATGTATATGGATTCATACAAAAGTATGAAACAGGGCAGGAAGTAATGGCTCCCGTAACTACAACACAGTTTCGCCCCTGTTCAAAATATTCTTTCGCTGTGAACTGGATTATTTAATAAGAAAAATTTTATTTAAAATCTCTTGACCAAACATGATGAAAAAGAATGCTCTTTAATTTTTGAAACTTCATTTCAGACCAGAAATAGTGAAGTGAAATTAAAATGTTGAGAAAAATAACAAGACTAACCTTCTTTCAAAGTAAAAAAAAAAAGAAAAAAACAACTTCTTCATATTCCCTTTACTTTCACTCCGGGACCCTCTTTCAGTTTTGAACATCAAACAAACCCGCCTCCCTCCACCCTTCGATCCTTCTTCCTCATCTCTGTGGTGATTGTGTTGCTACTCAGATCATCAAAGACTTCTTGTGACAAACCATCAAAGAGTTCTTGCAACATATTCGAATCTTTGAGAAATCTAGAGATTTGTGCTTTAAGATCTGTAATTATGATGAATAATCCTCATGTGTAATTAATTATATATAAGAGTTGATCCTTTAGCTATTCTTAACTACCTATGGTTATCAATTTTGTTGTAGTGGCATAAACTACTCATTTAGATCAATAAACAATTTGATGTAGGAAAATTGACAACTTATTTTCAACGATCACAACATTTGAAATAAAATCAAGATTTAATAATGACACAAACAACTCCTGTAGGTCAACAAATAACTTTATGTAAGGAAATGAATAATTTTAGTAGATAATAAGAGGGGAAGAGTGATAATGAGGTAATTTTGTTTTGCATTGTAATTTCACTTCAATAGTATACCCTTGATCTAAAGTGAATTTTTAGAGTTTAAGGAGCTGTCTTTTTCATTAAGTGTGGTCAAGAGGTCTTAAATAAAATTTTTCTTTATTAATATAATAAAGAGAAAATTCAAAGACTGAATATTACTCCCTTTGTTCAAAAATATAAAGCCTTTTTTAAGAATTGAATGTTAAAAAATATAAAGTATTTTTAATATTTTAAGATGTAATCATTGTTTTTTTTTTCAAAAGCTTCTCTAATGAAAAAAATCACTTTATATTTATTTTAGAGTAAAACACTCTATTAAATAAAGGTCAATATTAAAAGATAATATCAGTTTGAAAACAAATAACTACTTTATTAAGGATATGATTTGATTAAAAATGCTTTATATTTTTTAATAGAGAGAGTATATATCTTATATACATAGGCAAAATTATTAGTAGACAAAAATGTATATATGCCTATCACCATTGTTTTAATCAAAATATGCATGTAGAATGATCCAATTCACCCTCCAAAAAGATTCATAATGACTCATTTTAATCCTTATTATAAGTCACTTATTAAAAGATATAGATGGTCATCCTTGATATAAAACACTTAGTAAAGTATTAATTATACTTTTTCAACATTACTTTTATTTAAATTCATTAATTATAATAGAGAATGTGATGCAAATTTAAAAATTTTGATTTAAATATAAATAAAATTGACAGTTTTTCTTTTTTAAGAGAAAATAAGTAGTTAGGGGTCCTGAATTATATATTAAGTAATTTCTTACACAATTATTATCAATAATCATTATCATACTCTAACTTACATTTAAAAATTCTGTCAACCCCAAATGACGGGTTAAAATCATTGAGTGCTTATCAATATATATATATATATATATATATATAAATATATATAATTCTTTTACATCTTGAGGATTCAATCCTAAGCCTCTCTCTCTCTCTATATTCCGCATCCCAATTATCTAATTAAGCTTACCTCATGTCATGTGATGTATTTATTGTTAATATCATACAAAATATAAATGATCAAACACTGATCAAATCCACAGACTTTGTTAAACCAAAAGTGATTCCCATGGCGATCCACCCTCCGATCAAAATCCTAGAAGACGACTTCACCACCGGTGTTTTCCCCAAAACTGCACCCAACACTCCGAACCCCAACAAGGCCAGGCTCACCACACCTACCACCACCACCAACCTCACCTTGTACTCTTTTATAAACGCCGCCCCCAGCAGCGGCACCGCCGCACCGGCAGCAAAAGCAACCGCCGAGGCCGCCGCTGCGTATAACGGGTTCGGTAACTTTGCTTTGTTCACCTCTTTTCTTTCTCTCTTCAACTGAGCCACCTCAATATCATACTGCGAGTAAACTGACACAAACTCTCCGATCGCCATGCTACAAGCTCCGGCGACTAGACCAGCGACTCCGGTGAGAATCATTGTCTTGGCGTCCTTCCGTACTGCCCCGACTCCCATCATGAGCGACGCTGTGGAGAGCAAGCCGTCGTTGGCTCCGAGAACGGCGGCTCGAAGCCACTGAGCCCTTTGGGTATAGTCGACATCGTCTTTGATATTCCCTTGTCGTTGATCATCACGAAGGTTTCCTTGAGGTGCTTCTATGTCGGAAATGGCGGTTTTTGAAGGGATTGGAGACGAAGATGGGACGATTTGGCTCACCTTGTGATCTGTCATAATTGAAGAGAGTATTGTTTTGATGCTGAAGAAGAACTTAGTGTTTGTGAGATTTTTGAACGAGTGTGTGTGTGGAGGACACACGCCGCCTTATGAAGCTTATTTATAGATATGGACTGTAAGTGTGGGACTTAAGTGGAAAATGAACAAAATATTAGGGTAGTGGTGGCATACGCGGAAGAATCTTATTTATGCTTTCCCATGTGGATGAGTATATATTTGGTTTGTCCATTTAATTGGATTTAGATTCGTGGGGCTATCTCAATTCCTCTTATCCAGTGAATATCCATACTGCCTGTAAATTTTTTTTAATTACTTGAAAATTCATGCTTGACTAAAAATAAATGAAAGGATGACTTAATAAACAACCATTTTATGAAGATATGCCTTTTAGCCATTTCTTTACAATCATGTAAAATTGTCGGAATAAAAGATAACGCTAGAGGTATAAGGCATAGAGAAAAGAGAGAATTGTGATTTGATATTTTCTCTATATTTTTCGTAACATATTTAGCAACCGTTCGATTGAATTGACGATTTTTATAATATCATATAAGACACTTATTGAATGAAAAGATTAGAGACATTCATCTAATCCTTATCTGTGTTGTGGGAGGTCATTGGCATGGATTTCCCCTTTGCCCTTTTTAGATTGTGACTTTTTATTTCTTTTATCTTTTGTTTTTGGGTAATCTAGTATGATGTGAGACTTTGATAACCGACAATATCAAAATATATTGCCAAGGTTTTTTTTTTCTTTTTTGCTGCCTCTTTTTTCTAAGAGATAAAGTTGATGAAATTTATAAGGTGTTATGTAAAAATATCAAATAATTTTTCTCTTTAATTAATTTTATCCTAGAATTTTTAATAAAGATCTTGTGACTTGAACCAAGTTAAAAATATAAATTAATATGGGTATGATTGAAATACTTGATAAGTTTTAGATAAATTAATTCACGTAATAATTTTTCTCAATCGACCTTTGCATAAAGGAGCAGAAGCATTAGTTTCTCTTTTTCCTTCCCCTTTGACTTAAATTTAATTATTTAAGTTTAGAAAAAAGAGGCAGCAAGGGAAAAAAAAAAAACCCTCAGCAGACACTTGTCAATGGATTATATTAAAACACGAGGGAATATATATTAAGGGAAAAAAACACCGCGGGAATATATTGTGATATTGTCGGTTATCAAAGTCTCACATCACACTAGATTACCCAAAAACAAAAGAGTACTTAAATCAAAATTGGGAAACATGGAGGTCGACGTGAGTACTAACTTTAGTCGAAGTTGCAAAAATTTAAAAAACATTGATATTTTATGAACAATTCTATTAGATTTTTTATCTGAAACATAAATATAGGTTAAAATCAAGTATTATAAGCGGAACTCTAGCCGCTAGTTTAAATTTATATAACTATATAATAGAAGAATATATAAGTAGACATGAATTAATAATAAAATTTTGAGAAATTGGTTAAAACATAGACATATTTAATATGCCAGCATCATAGGATAAAGCTCCAAAAAATTCTTCGCGTGTTGATTCAGACAGCATGCATCCAATTCTAAATGTATATAGGAGCATATGAAAGGAACATTTATTAAAGTTTAAATTATTTTTTTGGTCGGTACTTTTTTATTGCGCTGTACTTTTTCTTTCACCTTTTTCATTTTTAAGAAAAGCAATATTTTTAATAAAACTAATTTAGACGACTTTAAAAAAAGATGTGGGAAAGCTAGAAACGTGTTCTTGCATGTTTAAACTTTAAAGGTCCTGTTTTGCTGGAGGCGGTAAATAAGATTCTTATCCTCTTATTTCTTTTATAGACTTTATTATATTTTCATAATTACTATCTAATATTTTTTATTTTTTTTAAAATGAGTACACGAAAGTCTTTTTTATTCTTAAGTTATTTCTAAGAAACAAGAGTAAAAATCTTGTAAAACTTTTAAATTGACTTATAAAGTAAAATGGAGAATTGTTATAAAAATGATAACGTTGATTGCATATATTCTTTCGTTCTTTGAATTATATGGATATATCATGCAATTTCAGATAAGAAAACATGGATATATCATGAAATTTCAGAACCACTTATGTATAAATTATAGTTTTAAAAAGTACATATAATTTGTATAGGAGGTCATGTATGATGTATATAAGTCAGTTCGACATCTTCATCTGAAACATCAAGGCAATGAGATTATGAATCCTTCTATTTATATAAGAGGGTTTAGCATTACCCAAAATATTAAAGCTGACAGTTTATAACCTTTTTATTCCGCTTATGTATGCCTCTATTTAATTTAGTCTAAATTTATTCGATGTTAAGCTTCTGATAAACCTATTATTTACGTAATTTTTGGGGATTTTTAAACTTAAATATGTCAATTAATTGCGATAAATTAAGGGAAAAATGATTCATATAGCCTCACCAAGTATTATGTGTCGAAATGCAGGAAAGGAAGAAAAAGGACCCAAAAATGAGATTAAAGCAAGAGAATTCATCTTAAAGTCCAAGAATAGGCCCAAGGACTTTCATCCGTGGGCAGATGAAGCATGAAGAAACTCAATTGTGATTGGATGAAAAAGGATCTAGAGTGTGTTCTCACCTCAATTATGTTCGACCGCAGATGAACCATATGCATTCTCAACCTCTCGCGAATGACAAGGGAAAAGATTCTCCCCCTCTGAGCTTCTACAGGGCGTAGACATGCTCAACAGGGCCACGATCATACACAAATGAAAGCCCCACTTGCTTTTCTACCACACGCAGGTGGAGTTGTTCTATGCACTATCGCTTGCAGACAAGAGTGAAATATAGGTGGAAGGCCCAAATTTAAGTGAAATAAACGTGGACCGTCAGTTCAACCTAAAATAGACATAAAAGCATCAAGAGTAGGGCTCCTTGGGGTGTGAAATTATATACATACATACATACATACATATATATATATATATATATATGTAAGCTCTAGAAACACTTGAGGAATGCATGCATTCTCTGGGAGGCAATCTGGAAAGTTGAGTACAGAGCTTCAGAGCGTTTTGTCTGATCTGGGACTGGTGTTCTATTCTCATCTTTTGTTCTTAACTTGATTATTTGATAGATTCGGGAACTGTTACGGCTGATTAATTACATGTTTAGTTTCTAATTCTCTAGTCAAGGTGTAGCCTGAGATGTTTTTACTCTTTTCTTGCGTTAACATTTATTCCTGTTGGTTTTGGATTTATTGTTTTATGACTTTTTTTGAGTATTTTATCAATTTCCTTTACCTTTTCTTTTGTTTTTAAATTTCAGTTTATATCTAGCCAATACATTCTCCATTCGTGGGATTGCTGGATACATTGAAAGGAGAAGAGAAAGCCTAGACTTAGGAAAGTAATTATAAACAACTAGATTGGGAATAATTTAGGAATTGCTCCTTACACTGAAAGGAGAACAGCAAACCTAGCATTAATCATAGTTTAATGCTTTAATTAGAGGATTAGAATTAGTGAAAACTAATTTAACTTTAATTAAATACAACTTAATTTTTTAGAAGGCAATTAAGTCACTTTCGTTTTAATTGAGTAGGAATAGGTTTGGCAGGTAAGAATAGGATATCCCGATATACTGGTGAACTCAATCAATGGCATTTTGTTATTGAGTGAATCATCACTTAACTCTTTCCATTGTTTTTTTTTTTGAATCATTTCAAGTTATTATTCCATTTTCTCAATTAATTATTATTTGCTGAGATCAATATTCTCTTCTAGGTTTAACCCAAAATACTCTAAATTTATTACTATATCGATTCCATATACTTGCAAGTGCCGATCAGCTCCTTTCTAAACCAAATAAATTAAAATCAAATTCACTTATACTTGATATTTCAATAATCTCATTATTATAATTAGGTTATATACTTTTACTTACATCATGAATATGATTACCGAGCCCAGGCGCTTTTTTTTTTTTTTTTTACCAATGATATTCGGACAAGACTAAAAGTTCCTAAAAGGTTTTTCTTTTTGACCAAATTTTTTTGGTTCTCTTCAAATCATGGATATAATCAGAACTGAACCATCATATGAGTGCAGAAATATTACGTGACATGATTTAACCAAGCGCTCTGATGCTTGACCATCTATCCTTTTGTTGGCTTTGACGTTTCATTACCCCACACGCGCGCGCGCGCGTCCTTGAAAGAAGACATTTTTTTTTTTGTATTTATAAGTCATAATTTATTTTCTGTCATAAATTTGTTCTTCTTCTTCTTGTTTTTTTTTTTGGTATGCCATAAATTTATTCTTTTACTCCCATTAAATTTTGAAAAAAAAAATTATTAAAGTATGTAGTATGTATATGTAATAGAAATAAAGTTAAAAATTTATTAAATTCTTAAAAAGAGTTAATTATAATTTAAACGCTTTTCTTAATTTTGATAAAACCCATTGAAAGTGATGTGTGTTCCCTTGATCACTATTGTAAGAAGCATTCTAAAAGAATTTTTTTTATCTTTAATGTAAGGCTTACTATGAGGTATTAATTACTTTTTTTTAAAGATTACCCCCATATAAACTTATTAACTATGGTAGAGAATGTAATAAAAATTTAAAATTTTTTATTTAAATAAGGGCAGAATTGAAAGTTTATTATATTTTTAAATAAAGTTAATAACTTAACTATTTTTTTTTAGTTTCGATGATATAATTGAATCAAGTGCATTATAATAGAGATTGAAGTGAGGATATATGTATATGTATATGACTTTGCATTATCTAGTATTTTTTGTTGTTGTTATTGTTGGGATGTATTCTTTATTTGCATGATTGGTAGTCAGGGCTGGGCTCAATTTCCAATTCACGTTGGACATGCATGGAGTTACTCCACTGAGTTATGGTGATGATGATTAAATTAATACAAACTACGTAGGATGCAGATGAAAAGTAAAACATGACGTATATAAGAGAAGAACCCAATTGATTATTGTAGAAGAACTTGATTAAAACATGCACAATAGTGATATATGCAAGCTAAGCTAGCTACATGCAAGGAGCTTGATTAATTAATTTATGGGAAAATTATGTATAAGTTTCATGATACGGATTTATTTATAAAAAAATCTCATA